CTTCCATGTGGGCTTTGTTGCTTCATTGCTAGATGGCCACTTGTTTAACAACAAGCCTTCAAGATCCCAGATGCTATATCATTTTGATATGGCTGGACACCATCAGCTTTCTTCACCACATTTATTTGCTTATGCACTCATTTTGTCTTCAGCGATCATGTCAGGAAGGTATTGTACAAAGCCACATTATTAGAACAAACTGTTTTTTTTACTAAAGTAAGATTTAAGTAGAGCCCCAAAGTCCATCTGCTTCCTTGTTGCATTTGCATATATATACATACATAAACAAATACACATATCTATATATTTATATACATATTTTTCTTTCCTCTTTCCCCTTCCTACCCCACTATCATATTTATCATCCTTCACCGATTAGTAATTCCTTTCAGATACAATTGATTGATCAAACATGACCAGAAAAGCTACACACACCTCACCGTCAATTTTTCAACACTTACTGTTCCCCCTGTATCCATCATTATTGGCTCACCTCTCACCTCACCTCCCATGACCCCCAGGAAACATCGGTGCAGTCGCTGTCTCTGGAAGATTGCCCCCCTTTAGACATTAATTGTGGTCCTCTTGTGAGTAAGCCCCAACCAGTTCAGATGGGGTACCAAGTGCTGCTCCCTGAGTTAGAAATCTGCTATTGGGATTCTTTTGAGACTTCGTGGCTGTGCTCCCATCACTGATCTGTTACACTCCCTTCTTGATTTGCCCCCATGTGGGCGGAGGGCCAAATATCTTTACCTACTATTTAGTTTTTGGTGAAAATGGGGCAAGTACCTGCTTCACCAAGTTGAGTATGTTTGAGAAACAAAATACAATTCTCTAAATGGTAGTCCCACCAAATATCTGAATTGAAAGATGTGAGCTACTTCACTTAGTTACAAAATTACACTAAAACTCAATATTCCCTGCCATTGAATCAATGCTGACTCATAGCAACCCCCTGTGGATTTCTGTGACTGTAACTTTTTACGGGAGTAGAAAGGCCACTCTTAATCCTATGGAGCTGCTGGTGGTTGTGAACTGCTGACCATGTGGACTGAAGCCCAATGCATAATTAATACAACACCAGGGCTTCAAAATTAAACTAAGAAATACATAAGTTTTATTCTCAACCCAGTAAAGCATAATAGTTTTGTTCTCATTTTCACTGTTTGGAAATGTTTACAGTTTTCTTAACTTAAGAGCTGTGATTCAGAGCACATTCTAACTTGTCCTGCAGAATGTCACTCATACGCTATGACCCTGGTATGAATTGCCTGGGCTACATTATGGCTGTTCAAAGGGACAAGGCAATTAGAGTCTCTGACTCTAAAGAGCTTTCACTGAAGTAAACACTTTTCTAATGATGCACACTGTCATGTTACATGTGTCCCAGAGAAAGACAAAGTGTGATGAAAGCAAGTCAAGAGATATCAGTGCTATTTCAGCGAAGGTGGGATCTCTTCAGCATCTAGGCTTCCCCTGTGAACTCTAGAGCTTCCTTTTTCAGGGCTTGCTGGCTCTGTGACAGAGGCTCTAACCAGTCTCCAGGGGGATTCCACTTGCCCTTGAATACTAGGCAATAACCCTCCTCCAGGGGTTCCTTAATGTGACTAAAATTAGCTGCTGGCCTTGACTTTGAAAAAACTTCCCAAAATTCCAAAGAATAGGAGCACAGGGCTCCGGCATCTGGCTCATAAAGGAGAGCTGACTGACTGCTCTCCCTACAGAGCTCAGTCTCATCTCACTCGCCTTCTACCGTGAGCTGCCTGGGTGGGACAGCTTTCTGTCTGATCTGATGACTAAAGACTGGCCTTCGGATCAAATGACCTGGTTTTTAACTGCGTCCTTGGGCAAGTTGCTATCTATCTTTCTGACATCAGGCCTCATCTTTAAAATAAGGGTAATAATGTTAGCTGTCATAAGTACTAGAAATCAAGTAAAATATTTAACATCACTCCAGATTTATACCAACTGTCATTGAACTGGTTCCAGCTCATGGCAACCCATGTATGTCAGAGAACTGTTGCACTGAGCTTTTAAGGGCTGATTTTTCACAAATCTCCCTTCAGAGGCACCTCCAGATGGATTCAAGTCTTTGTCTATCGTCCCAGTGTTAAACACTTACACCACCCAGGACTCCCTCCCATGCTCGTGTCCATGCCACAGAGTAAGTTCCAACTCATAGCAGCCCCGTAGGACAGGGTAAAACTGTCTCATACGGTAAAAAAGGCTGTAATCTTCACATCCATTTTACTTGCCCTTGGCATAATGATTGCCTTATAGCAGTGGTTCTCAACCTTCCTAATGCCACAACCCTTTAATACAGTTCCTCATGTTGTGGTGACCATAAAATTATTTTTGTTGCTACTTCATAACTATAATTTTGCTACTGTTATGAGTCAGGCAACCCCTGTGCAAGGGTTGTTCAACCCTCAAAGGGGCCATGACTTACAGGTTGAGAACGACTGCCTTGTAGGAAAGTTTAGTAACCATGCTACCAATGAGGGACTAAATGACTGACCACCAGCTCTGTGTCAGTTTGTGTAATAAAGGAACAAGGCATGGAAATCACAACATAAAACACTAATGCCAGAAGAGAGACCCTCAGTCGTAGTACCCAAAGTGTGGCAGGTAGTGAGGGAAAGGTGTCTTTCCTGGTATGGCAAGGTTGTTAGGATGATTGAGGATCAGGCAGGGCAGGTAAGATCAGAAACAGGTTCAGGGGAGGGCCATCCCTTCCCTCCTTTTCTCCTGCATTCTGCTGGCTGTTGGGACAGTCCTTCCACTTGCCTCAGCTTCTTCTTGATGCCTGTTTTATGCTCAATTTTATGTAGGGCTAGGTCTGCAGGAGTGATGCTGAGGGGAAGAAAAAAATAGAGAAGGAGAAGCCACTAAAAATTATTCCCTGTATTTCCTGCTTTATTCCTTTCCTGCCCTGGCCTGTTTCCTGGACCTCTTGCCCACAGCAAAGTGACTCAGGCTTGGGTCCCATAGCCCCTGTGCTGGTGAGAGTCTTACTGTGGGGGAGAAGTTATGGCGATGGAACAGGCAGGAGAGGCTTGTTAAACATGCGAAACCTTTGTGTCCTCGGCTTTAGTGTTCTTATTTATCACAGTTAACACATTAGCTGACCTTGCAAGGCCCCTGCTGTCTGTGGGGGTCCTTGAAAAAGCAGGGAGAGCAAAGGAGGGCTTCAGGGACAGCACTCCTGCCCTCTTGGAGCCCCTAAGTTCCACCATATCCTCCTCATGCTTCTTCCCAGAGGACAAGAGAACCCCGAACTCACTGACAGCCTCGAAATAGATTGTCACCTAGTAATGTAGCTGCACAGAATGGTAACAGCCCGCTTTATATGAAAATGTCATGAAATATGTTTTTATCCAGTTTCAAACAGCTGTAAAAATGTAATCATTAAACATTTACTGTATTCCAAGTACTGTGCAAATCACTGTATGTGATTTGTCTTTGACATTTGCAGCAGCACTCTGAAGGAGATTTGCCCATTTTATAGATGAGAAAACAGGCCTAAACACTAAGCAACATTCCCACATCATGCAGGTAGTAGGTGGAGGTGCTGGATTTAACCTCAGATCTGACACCTTTATTTATTTATTTATTATTTTATTCTAAAACCATTTTATTGGGGGCTCATACAGCTCTTATCACAATCCATACATCCTTTTTTTTTTTGAGACTCAGATTGGTTTATTGACAATGCCCCATGCTGTCCTCTGCTCTCAGAACAGCTCTCAGGATCAAAAGAACCCAACCCAAGTCCCTGAGGCTGGCGTCTTAGCATGGCTCCCCTCCCTGAGGGAGGGCAGAGCAAGAACCCCTGCCTGATCCCATCAGGCCACCTTTGGGATGGGGAGATGCCTGAGCATCACACAGCGCCACCCTCTCCGCAGCCGCAACTGCAGGGGTCACCTTACTGGGGTGCAGAGATGGTGTGGCCCTGCCTATCCTGAGGCCACCTTATAACAGTCACCCCAGGGAGGACAGTAATCAGACCCAGATACACACTTTTGCTCCCCCTCCTTCAAACTGGCCCCACCACTCCCTGAGATCCAGGCCATGGCAAAGGGGCTGGCAAGGAGGGAATGGGGAGGGGGAAGGGCCAGGTTCCCCCTGTTCTGTTCCCTTGGTCTCTGAGGGGCTGGCTATATCTTTCTACTTGAGCCCTTGGTATCAGCTCCTCTTTCTTTTCCCCTTCCCTCATGAACCCTTGATAATTTATAAATTATTATTATTCTTCATGTCTTATACTGACTGATGTCTCCCTTTACCTACTTGTCTGTTGTCCGTAACCCTGGGAAGGGGTTATTTGTAGATCATTGTGATCAGTTTTGCCTTTCTCCCTCCACCTTCCCCTTCCCCTCCTGTTATTACTATTCTCACTATTGGTCCTGAGGGGTTTATCTGTCCTGGATTCATTGTGTTTCCAGCTCTTATCTGTACCTATGTACATGCTCTGATCTAGCAGGATTTGTAAGGTAGAATTGGGGTCATGATAGTGGGTAGGAGGAAGCATTAAAGAACTAGAGGAAAATTGTATGTTTCATTGGTGCTACACTGCACCCTGACTGACTTGTCTCTTCCTTGTGACCCTTCTGTAAGGGGATGTCCAATTGTCTACAGATGGGCTTTGGGGCTCCACTCTGCATTCCTCCTCATTCATATTGACATCAGTTTTTTTTCTGGGTCTTTGATGCCTGATATCTGATCCCATCGACACCTCATTATCACACA